ATCCTACCTTTCATCAGATAGTTCAGTGTAGTATGCCTGTACACTGCACGAGTCAAAAAGAGGGCTGTGAGGATATTTACAGACCCCTCACATCCTGGACATAAACGATTTCAACTCCTACCCTCAAAATGGCGCTATAGAGCACTGCAAACCAGAACAACTATACACAAGAACAGTTTCTTCCCGAATGCCATCACTTTGCTAAACAAATAATTCCCTCAACACTGTCAAACTATTTACTAAGTCTACATTACTATTACTATTACTCTTCCCATCCTTCCATTCACCCATCTCCTCCCATTTATGACTGTATGACTGTAACTTCGTTGCTTGTATCCTTACAATTTTTTATTGACTGCTTATTGTACCCTGACTAATTATTAAATGTTGTACCTTATGATTCTTGATTAATGTATCTTTTTTATGTACATTGAAAGCATATGCACCAAGACAAATTCCTTGTGTGTCTAATCACATTTGGCCAATAAAGAATTCTGCTCAAAATCAATCATTGGATCGATGAATGGGAAGGGACCTAACACTAGGTCACATACCAATCTAGATCCAACTTATTTGTAAAATTTTATTTTACATTCTTAAAATAAATAATTAGTAAAACAATATTTAAACTTAACTTTAAAAAATAATAAAAAACAAAGCAAAAGAAAAAATAGGAATAAGACAGCTCCAAAAGATTTTTAAAAAGAGAAAAAACCCTCTATTTTATAGTTACCAATAGCTCTGATGTTACTAATAAATATATTACTATAATATAATCTGTACAAAATTGTAAAATATAACAAAATCTCTGTCACAGTAATATATATCCTTGCATCCTTTGATAGTAGAAAATATTGCCTTTTGCTAGACTGATAGATTCACTTCCAACCAGTGGTGGGATTCAATTTTTTTTTAACCACTGGTTCTGTGGGCGTGGCTTGGTGACGTGGCAGCGGAAGGATACTGTAAAATCTCCAGTCAGAGGTGGTATTTGCCGGTTCTCTGAACTACTCAAAATTTCCGCTACCAGTTCTCCAGAACCGGTCAGAACCTGCTGAATACCACCTCTGCTTCCAACCATCATTTCTTAATATACGAAATGAGGGGTCCTTGGCGCTCTCTGAGCTTGTTTTCTTGCAGACATTTCATTACTCAAGCTAGGTAACATCATCAGTGCTGTTAGCTAGTTTGAGTAATGAAATGTCTGGAAAAAAAAAGAAACAAGTTTAGAGAGCACCAAAGACTACTCAGTCAAACCCTGAGCTACAATTATTTTTACTGGTAATATTTGGAATATTATCACATTTCTAATTTCCCAATATGAAATATCCAAGACCTTAGTCACTCTACTATGCTAGCTCAATAGCAAATAACTATATAACATAACCATCAAATCCAGTGGCCTGTTCTCAGGATGAAAGAAAGCATATCCATGGTAGCTTATCAAAAGCAGCTGAACTATGCCAATTACAGAATTTTCTATAAAAAATCTTTATGAAAAATCTCTCAGATAGATCTAGCTCCCTAATCCAATCACCATTAGCAAAATAGGTACTATAAATAAGAGTAGAAAATAGGTTTAATGAAAATATAATTTTACCTTATTTTTTGTGAATCCTGGTTTTGTTTGTCCTGCTTTTGCAGTCTAGAATTAAATATTAAGACTACTTTAGAATCAGCACCATGAAAATGGTTATAATCTTCAGTGTTAAGCAATTTGTCTTAGACCTCTAAACAATTCAAGGAGGCACATATAACACATAACTGGCTGAAGTGCAAAGCCAAGGGATTGGGTAAAATGCAATTGTTTTTAAATTAGAAGTTAGTTTTGTATCAGTAGAAGACATGAGTTAATTTTGAGATGAAGACTATGGGTTGACATAGTTATTTCTGGAAGATACTTTTAAACTACCATATAATATAAGGCTGTCCCAAATCTTGGAATAACATGTATTCCATTCAATCAGAAAGCATGGGGGAGAGGTTATGCTGCTGATATTAATGTATCCTTCTCAAACTCAATGTATCCTTCCTGTGTATACGACAATAAATCTGAAAACATAAAAGGTGTGTGTATGTATGTATGTTTATATGTACATATCAAACATGCATACAAAAAGCTAAAGGAGAAGATAGATCTTAATGTTTTTGTTATTTTTGCAAAAGAAGGCCTTCCTTTTGAAGCCTCACTTTTACAAAAAAAAATGGGATAAAGGATCCAGCTGTGACTATAAAGGCCTCTATTCAACATTTAGTACGAACAGAAAAAAGTTTAATCTATCTCTGTAAAGTCAAAATACATGCATAACCATAAATAAATACGCAGGCACACACGAGTGGAAACAACAGTCAGGATTTTTTTTTTCATATAGCAAAAAATGTTTTCTAATCCCAATTTCTTCTGATAGTTAATAAAATATTTATTGGATTAGATACTAAACATGAAATATTTGACATTAGCCTTGCCTGTTCCTCCATGCATCTGACAAACTCTGCCTGTTTTGAGAATCCCACTGGCTGCTTTTTCAAACCATTCTTTTGCTCCATGCGAGATTCAAAAAGATCTGGATTGGATCTGAATCAAAGTTAGAACAGTTTATAACTACCACACACAGATCATACTTTCGCCCCAAAACTCCTTATCATATGCCAAAAGTGTGTGACCTCATCATACTTTGTCATGGTAACTTATTAAAAAGCAGGGCAGGATGACAGCAAACTGGGCATATTTCACTCTAAATATCCGTCAGCGACCAGCTTCAACAGGAGAAGACTGGTGGAAGGAAGCAAATCTACTGTGTATTTATAGCAGCACCCAAACCAGTAAAGCTTGCATGCACACGAATAAGGTTTGAAACCTCTAAGCCTTTACTGTAAACCACGGCAAACCCGAGTGCGGGATACATTATAGCTCGACCCTGGACTTGTTTACTGGAATGCGTGTAAGTGCCTCGAAAGCCTTTGGGAGGCGTGCAGGGAAAGACGGGCAGACAAAGCCTAGCTAAGGACGTTCCTAGGGCTCCCACTTCAAGGTTACTCTCAGATCCCCACTTCTTCCCCCGCCAAAAAAAAAAAAAAGATTAAGCACAGCGTCCGGCTCCTCGGCGCTGCCTTATACCTGCGAAGCTCTTGGATCTTAGTTCGGTATTTCTCGAAGAAAGGGCTCTCCCCCAGACCACTCTCGTCTGCCAGCCCGCGGATCCCGAGGACTAGCGGCCTAGGCCGCGAAGGGACCAAAAGGCCAAGAGGCCGAAGAGCAGCGTAGCGACTCATCAGCACCCCGCGGGACAGGCTGAGCCCCGCCATCCCCCAGAACTGCTGCAGATGCCCCGCTGCCATGGCGGCCCTGCCCACCCCCCTACTCTGCCTTAGGCGCGAGCAACGCGGAACGCCCTCCGCCCGTTTACGTCACCCAGCGCAAAGGTTCCGCCCAGGCAAAGAAGGGAGCGAGCGGGGGAGGCCACACTTTAATTTAAATGTTAGAGAATGCAAACCGCAGACCGGGTCTATTAAAGAGAACATCTCCAATGAGGCTATACTAGGTCTACCCGATATTTGGGGTTGAGGGCTAAACCCCGGTTGAACATTGTTGATCTCTGTTCAATTTATTATGCGTTCAAGTCACTTTTTGACTCCTGGCTAAATCCCTCTACTTGGAAAGGTTTTTTGGAAGTGGTCTGCCATTGCTTCCTTTTTAGGGCTGAGAGAAAGTGGCTGGCCAAGGTCACCCAGATGGCTTTGTATCTTAAGACAGAATTAGAACTCATGGTCTCCCGTTTTCTAGCCTGTATAGCTTAACCACTATACCAAACTGCCTCTATTGGCTGTCCATTTTTGAAACAGTATTGGGTGCTTGATTTTCAAGTGTAAAAGTGTTTCCTAGTATGATTTGATTGCTTATTGTACCCTATGACTATCATTAAGTGTTGTACCTTATGATTTTTGACTCTTGGTGAATGTATCTTTTCTTTTATGTATACTGAGAGTATTTGCACCAAGACAAATTCCTTGTGTGTCCAACTACACTTGGCCAATAAAGAATTCTATTCTATTCAAACCAGTTCTCTAAATTCCAGATATGCCCTAAGCACCAAGAGGTTATGGATCCCTGACCTAAAATAACCATCTGGCCTGTTTGGGAGGTCTTATAGTCAACTACCAGAATTTCCAGTTAAAGGAGTTAATATTTCTATAGACCTGGAGAAAGGCAGATCACAAACAGCTTTTTCTCAAAGAAAAAATAAAACACATACAGAGAAAAGTCAGCCTGTAGCTTTTGGATTGCATAAAAGAATGGGCAATCAAGCTTTTCCTTATCTTGAAAAGGAAGGCAAAGGTTTCTAGAAAGTCTATCCTGCATAGTATTGCTTTGTTGACTTAAAAGTCCTTTCACCTATGTTCCAGGAAAGTAGAGATTTCAACTGGGTGTGAGAGTAGAATGTATATTCTTGGCCCTCAGTATGGTCTCCTGGTGACCATTGTTTCATCATAAGCTTTGGAATGTGACTTTCTCTTCTATTCCTTTCCATTAGAATTAATGTCAACTACTCATTTGGTTTTCTCCTTCTGAAAAGAGAGTAGCTTCATCTTCTTCAAATAAAGGCATGGTAAAATCCAAACTTACAGTAAATGATGATTATCCCTAGTGGTGAGTAGCCCATTGTCTTTTCTGAACTAAACATTAGCAAGTTTGCTTTTTATTACTGGAAAGCTAGGTGAGTCACCCAGCAGCAAGCAATTGAAACAGTATACATATAGTGCTGTGCCTGATCTGTTTTAATTCTGGTCTCTTAACTAAAGCTCAGTGGTTCAAACAGAGTTTAAAACAGAGTTTACAAATTGCAACTATAATTACGATTGGGTCTGCAGAACATACTTCACCAAAATCAAATAAAACATATACGGTATATTTTTTACTAAAATACATGAACTCAAGATTCATTGGTCAAAAGATAAGTTGATTTTGGACTGGCTGTGGGGAAAGGACATTTTTCTTAGGAATGGCTCCCTTTGGAGGTGACTATTTTGCCTTAGATCTGATTCGCAGCTTTGACTGGTGCAAGAACCTATCACTTCCTGATGTAAAGGCAGCTCGGCCAATAACCCTTTTCCTTTTGGTTACCTTTTGCTCAGATAACATCTCAGGAAGCTGCCTTGATGTGTGTTTGGACATAGTTAATATAAAACAGGGCAACCAGATTGTTTTCAAGGATGCACCAATGAGCATTCATTTGTACAACTCCTGGAACATTGGTTTATTTCTGGGACATTCAGGCAATTTGTACCCGTAAAATCCTCAGCACTTAAAGGGACAGTGTATCTATACATGTATCTTTGTGCATAGCCTTGCTGATAGTTTGAAAAGGAAATGTAGAACAAGGCCTTTTCCATGGCACTAATCCAAATTTCCTTTTTTTTTCTGCTTAGGGTATTAAACCTTCGCTGGCTATTATTTTGGTAAAACTCTGCTATTTTAAATCTTCAGTTTCTCAAATTGGTAGAATATTTATTTTTAAAATAATTTAATTTTAAAATAATTCTGATTCTTTAGATCAGAAGATAACTTTTTATTAAATATTATAAAGTTCTTACCATTGTATCTAAACTGGAAGATTGGAGATATACAACTACATGCTTTAAAAAAAATCTAAAAGCTACTGTATAAGACAGCTTTAAGCTATTCTTCCAAATTACAAAGCTTGACTCCTTTAAATCCAAGTAATCCAGACCATCAAATTCGTCCCTTGATGAAAATGTTTATAGAAGAGACAGAGAGGGAACTTGATTGTTTTAACATGCTAATACTTTCCAACTTAAAAGCATGAGAGAATCCTTTAACCCAAACAGTATTCTATTGATGTTTTGGGGATTTTTTTGACAGTTTGAAAGTTTCACAACTTCCTCCTCATGCAAACAGTAGTAACACTCAAGATGACAACCAAATTCTCTTCTGAAGTTTATTTTATGACCTAATTACAGGTTTGCTGCCGGTGTATTTTGGAAGCCTAGCTTTTTGCTACATCTTGGTGTTTACCTGTATGCTGCTCCTTCAATGGCGAAAACAAATCCTTCAGAAGCGCCGTGCAAAAGTCTGGATGAAACAGTTGAAAGCGGAGTCTTATTTTCAACATGCATTGGCTCACAGGGCTGATGAGGAAGCCCAGCCTAGAACAAATACAGCCACCTGCAATCCCGATAACATACTAGACCTAGAACCACAAAGCACTGTCTTACCTAGTGAGAATATTGTGGAGAGCAACATCAATTCTACCCCTCCACTTCTAGATTCGGCTCCATACAAACCAGTATTTCAAGAAGTTCCATGTGCTTGTGCACTCTCTCACTTGCCGCCACTGCTTGCGCATTCAGCTTCTTACCCTTGCTCTACCATTCCAGCAGAAAGTTCACCATTCAGCTCACCTCTAAAACCAACCATCTTGAAATATGATCCATACAGTATGGGTAGAAGGATTTCTGCTTAGCGATCAAATGTGACGGATAGGAATATTCTTAAGTGGTTTCAGTTAGAACTCAATTAAAGATCAGTTTCAAACTATTTCCGTTTTCATTCAAGCATTGTTTTAATATTGGGAAGACAATCTGCCTTCGACAGCTAGTGTAGAAAGAAATCACTTTAGAAATTAAATTGTATTCAGAATCCATTCATATATCATGAAACTGAAGTATATGTTCTTTCCAAGGTTTCTAAATCTACATTTCATCCCAATTGTCCAAAGAGCTGAATATTACATGGCCATACTTCAATTTTAACTTCAGTAACAAATTACATTTTAAAATATATGAGTAATATCCAGATATATCAAAAAGCAAAGTGTATGGAAGACTTTATAATTAAAACCAGCAAACATTGTTTAGTCCTGAGTGTCTCACATTTCGTTAGCAAAGTTAGTTATGGCTAACAAATGGTGCTTATAATGCAGCCTTTTAAAACTTAAAGTAAAATATAGTATAAATTATGGTCCAACTCAGTGAATATTTTGGAGCAACTTATTTTTTCCAGTGTGAGAGGTAATCTGGGAACAGCAACTGTTTTTACAAATCAGTTTATCATGTTATGCAATTCTAATAGACAAAATAGGATTTTTTCAAGTGAACCGCATGATCAAAAAGAAAGCTGAATGCTTCAGTTTATTCTATAACATATTTTTCTAGATGAAATAAAATAACCATTAGACCCAAAACAAACTATTTTATTTAGATTTGACATTCACAATGCATAATAGGTGCAAAATGCAACAGCTAAATCTAGCTTTCATTCACTCCATTAGAGCTTTTACACATTTTTGAGGTCCTATTTTATAAACCATTTCAATTAGTTTAAGTAGGACAATGCAAATCAATTACCTTTATACAATGTAAAACCAGTGTACTTTCAGTGCAGTGGATTCCAATACAAATCCTAAAGAACAAACACTATGATTCACAGCAGAGCATTGTTTTTAACATTTTAAAGATCAGATTAGTTAATTCATATTCTAAAGGACATAATTTTCATTCTGGAGATATAAAATCAAGACTCTTTTTTTAATAGCATAAAAAGCAGTACCACTTTTAAACTATACCCAACACTCCCATACAAGGAAAACAGGTTTCAATCTTTCAAAACCCTTAAGAATTATTTCCTTTGCAATGTTATGCTTCTCCATACAAATAAACTACCCTTTTCTATAAATCTTAATTTTATTCATTCTTTTCATATGATTATCTGAACAAAAAGATAAGTAATTTTTACTTTTTAAATGCCACTAGAATTTTTTGTGCAATCACAAAAGATACAATACATTCCACTGTTACTTTACCCTGTCCCTATTCTTTCTATTCTGAATGTCCCTAATTTTATCAGAGGATTCTATTATTGTGAAATACCTGAATAACCTACTGTACTTTTCAGACTATAAGACGCACCAGATCATAAGACGCACCTAGGTTTAGAGGAGGAAGACAAGAAAAAAATTAGTTTTTTGCCTTTGTGAGTCCCGTTTTTGCCCTCCCCAGAGACCAGAAGCACTTTATAGTCCAAAAGTGGTTCTTTTTTTGGCCTGCAGAGTGCTTCTGGATGCCAGGGAGGGCAAAAAATAGGACGCGCGGAAGGTTTGGGAGACCAAAAACAGGCCCGTATTTGCTCTAAAAGACGTACAGACATTTCCACCCACTTTTTTTTAGGGGGGGGGAGTGCATCTTATAGTCCAAAAAATACAGTAATTTTTTTAAAAATAATATATTCATTGGAAGCATTGCAATAAATTCAACATTCATTTGAAGCCTTCTGTTATTACCATGCTAAAAAGATGAGTCCATTTCATGGGCACCCATGAACACTGGAAAAAAAACATGTAGCTTAATATCCATACGAACATTTCAAAATCTTGTGTTTTTTTAAAATATGTTACAGCTTCCAGCTATCCTGCTCAGCATGGCTGATAGACATGATATGACTTGTGGCATCAGTTCAATTCAGAAGAGTATTATATCTTAAGGATGATAAAGCTAAAATGGGGAAAATATTAAGTTTTTGACCAGTGGTTTAGCTAATTCCCATTACTCTTTCTTACATAACATTCCCTAAACAGGCAGGCTCAGCTCTGTGAATGCTGCATATTCAATTTCAAATCAATTCTGCTGAACAGCTATTGCATATTGTTAATTAACTGTAAAATAATTTCAAAGAGTGAGCTATTTGAGCCAACTTATAATACTCAGATTGCCATATTTATTTTGCTTTCAAATGCACAAATATTGCAAATTAGGAGAAACACATAAGACAAACGATGTATATTGAAGGCTCTAATTACATTCAAAAACAGCAAGATAGAATTACTTAAAGATTTTACATGAAGAGTTAGCTTTATGAAAAGCTTGCAAATAGGGAAAATTTATAAGCTTTTGCACTTCAGAGTTTAGACATTTCATCACTTAAATTTGCTCAGTATGAATGCCTTCTTTCTCAGTGATGACATACACACGAGGAATGGGGAAATGCTGGTATGCTAAGGACCCTCAGCAATCATTCCAAGTGATACTACCTTCCTTCCTGCTCTATAACATAAAGTATGAATTAACCTTAGGTATTTTTTTCTAATGAAAGCATTCCTTTAATGTAGGATAGTTTTCAAATACGTATTTCTCTTACGGTACAGTATTGAGTTATTGAAGACTATGACTTCAGCTTCTAAATTGGATCAGAAATTTTGGAGTGAGATTTCTGTTACAACAAAAATGTTCCTGAAAGCAATCCCTAAAAGTGCTCATGATAATCAACTTAATACTGAGATTAAAAGTCATTCTTTGCATATGGATTATAACAAGCCACCTTTAAAAAAATACCTTCAATATTTTGCTATACAATCATATGACATACACACATACAAATACTGTTATATTTAATTGTTATTGCTTTATTTGGTCAATCGTTTTTATACACAAAGCATATAAAATTAATTTTATCCAAAAGAATACTGGTGTTCAGTTATGAACACAATATGAATTTTGAGCTTTAATGGGTATAGCTAACATATAAATTTAAGGAAACAATTTGCATTCTGGATAATTGTCTAGATAAGGGAATCTGGTTTTCCAAAACCTGTTCATTAAATTTTTGGAAGGCATCTGTTTACATCATATTCTAGTATACCAGTGCTCAGTACTTTGATAGAAACCACTGCCATTATGGGCAATGAAGATTCCTGAGAACTTAAAATTTGCTAAACTAAAAGCTGTAAAGAAAGCCAACAATTATGACAGCATTCTACTCAACATATCCTTTAAAAATAGATTTACAGTAATAGTGGCACATTAGAAAATCTTGCTGCATTTGGTTTGTACAGGGAATAATGTTTATCTGAGGTTATTTATTAAACGAAATCCTACTGTTTGTTTGCCTGACAACACCTGATGTTTTCAATAACCAAAACAAAACACAGCAGCTTAAAATGTTTTGAATTTCCAAGTTTATAGCTCACACTACATCATCAAAAGTGACTTCACATTCACAAACACATCTGTTTTTTTTTTTAATAAGGCAAAAGCTTACTAATCTTGATAGTATATACGAAGATGCTGTACTCCTAGTGGAAATCTTTCTCAAACTTCAATTTAAGAAAAAGGAGATTTAATTATCTGGAAAAAAGTAGCACGTCCATGCCACAATCTCAATCCATTTGAACCTCACATTGGAATTAATGTTAAAATAAATCAGCAAACCACAGAGTGAAAATGCAAAGTTGTACTTAGTACAAAATATAATTTGGTGCTTATCATCTTATTTTTCTCTGAGAGTATCCTAATTATTGTTAATATTAACTACTAACCATTAACACCACTTTTAATCCTCTGTTAAATTGGGAAAGGTTAACTGAATTAGGTATCACCAATACAATGGGAAAAACTGAAGTAAATATTGCAGTGTTTCCAGCAGGAATCCTTCTTCATAAAATTATTATAACTGAAAATAGCAATGAATCTGTGATTTAGTTAAAATCAGAAGAAATTTTTATTCTTACAACCTGTTTCTCTGAATGTCTTTTTATCTCAATTTCAAGAATTGAAGTCTCCTTTAGAGTCTGGCATAAAAGTTAGTACTTGAATAGCACAAAACTTACCAGTGATTCACAAACCAATATAGGAAAGGAGTGTCATACAAGTGTAATTCCTAGCAAGAAGCAATGTTTTCTATTATCGACTTTTACTTAATACAAACTGGAACACTAATTACTTTTGATGAAAATTAGACCCAAATATGTATAAGTTATTCTAGTTTAAATATTTACAAATGGAAGAATCCCATCCTGCAAATCAGATTTTTATATTTTATTCTAAAGTGCAGCTAATTTAAGGCAAATTTGAAATATAAAATCAAGTTTGTCAATATATACACATATTTTAACTTGAAGACGAGCTTCCCTTATAAGGGAAATAAGAACTCTGAGATAAAATTCTTCGTGTAGTCATAAGGTGCAATTATCATTTTCATTACAATTATTCAATGCAATGCAATGCAATCCTGGGGCTGTGATCCAGGACAAATAAAATGTCCCTAGTTCTGTGGGAATCCAAACCAATGCAATAATGTATTTGCTATTAATAGGCCTTGTTTGCATAAACAAATTTAGGCATGGCTATTTACCCCTGGATCAGGGCCTCAAAAGTTGGAAAATCTTTCAGGGGTCAACATATCTAATGTTACAGCAGATAAAAATATAAAAGCTTTTCACTGTTTTCCAAATAACAGAAATTTTAAAGGTGTCAACTGATAGACTAAATTAACTTCAAAGACTAGTAGATCACTGGGAAAAGTGCTATAAGTAGCTTTTACTTATTCAGTTGGTTTTTTAAAAACAAAAACAAAACAATAGCTACTGTAGTCCTTCAATACTGTGTTTATAAGAAAAGATACTATAGACCCAATGCTACTTTCAGTTCTGTTATAGAATATCTTCCATCTCCATCTTCATCAAATTCCTGAAAACTCTGTGGATCATGCACTATATATCCAACCAGATTTTCCAGGTCTTCATATGATAACTTGTCATTAATGCCTTGGCTAGAAGTCCTGAATAAATTCTGAAGATCTGCAAGGGAAAAATTTGTTTATAAAAAACCATTCATTGCTCTCTCCTGAATTCAATCACCCCAAACTTCTATGTACAAGTCAGTTGCAATGGTGTTAGCTTAAGAAATAACTTGATTGTGCCAATAATAGCATCATGTCCCTCAAACTCAGTCTCCTTACTGTCAGCACTGATATTTCTATCATGGATTATTTAATTAGAGTTGTTCATTCATCTGCAATTCAGAAAATGCAATTTGGTATACATTTATTAAACAAAGGCTATTTTCATTATGTCTAGGATGTCTAAAATTACTATTATGGTTGATTAAAAACCACAAAAACTCAATATTGCTTTGTAATGGAGAAAGAAATGGTATGAAACCAGATTGCAACCTTGTTTTCAATTTACTAAACTATGGAAAATCATTATGTCTGAGCTGATCCCAAAACAATAATGATACGTATGCATTAAACTAGCAGAAACAACACTAAACATTTGGAAAGAGATAATGGCTAAATATTAATGTATGTCAACTGTCTCAATATAGCTGATTATGTGATTCAAGTATTCAGAGTAGACTGTAGTATAACAACCCATTTTATATTGTTTTTATACATTTTAGCTAGATTCAGTATATTTCTTTTGTTACTTTAATATTTTCAATTGGATAACCTATGGCAAGACCCCAATACAAAATATTTAAGAAAATCAAGGGATAATTAGGACATGGGGATCCTGCAAAAACAGAGAGTCACCCTTTTTGCTAACATGGTCTATTCTAAACCATGGGTGTCAAACTCGATTTCATTGAGGGCCGCATCAGGGTTATGTCTGACCTTAGGGGGCCGGGGTGGACATGACCAGGGTGGGCATAGCCAGTTTAACATCACTTGTGTTGGGGGTGCCTGTGGTGGTTCAAGAGCTCCGCCAGTGAAAACGGAGCTGGGGAGGTCCGCAGAGGTACCACGGGCCAATTCTTTGCTGTTTCCAGGACAGCCCTGCAGGCCAGATCTAAGCACGCCATGGGCCGGATCCAGTCTGTGGGCATTCAGTTTGACACCCATGATCTAAATGAATATTTTTCAAAGCTATTATGGCTAACAAAGAAAGAGATGAACTGATGAGGGGATTAAGTATCTCTCTGTAATCCCAATTCTGATCATCCCACCTGAAACTAGCAGCTATTTATCCCATCTCAAAGAGGTATACACAATCAAACATTTACCATCATAAATAAATCCTAATATATTCATTCATTTTGCCATTTCTAAATGTAGTCTCCCAATTTAAATTTGTAAAGACAACTCTTTGACATCTATAGATCCAAATTTATTAATTTCTAGAATCTTTGGCACACAAAACATGGGTTCTTGTTCCATGTCTAAAAACTTCAACTTTACCTTCTATGTTGGATATGCCAGGTAAAGACAAGCTTCTTGGGTGTCGACTTTGCTCAACATTATTGCCAAGTGATCTTGAAGAAATTATTGGAAGTTTTGTAGGCTCTGATGTCATGCTCTGTGGATTTTCTACTGTCAAAGCAATTTTACAGTAGTCATTTATTTTTCTTATTTGATAACAGCAAATATCATGCATCAAGGTGGAGGGAGGGGACATTAAAATGGTATAAAGCAGTCACAAGCAATATTAGCAGATTTCAAATGTATTCTAGTTTCACTCATACTAAAGTAAATAATAAGCATATAAACTGACTGCCTTCTAGAGATTTAGAAACAAGAACTATTGCTTGTTTTTTAATCAAATCATCAATTTCAGTTTGTTTTCAGTTTATATGTTAAATTAAAGCTGGAAAAAAAATCTGAAGTGATTAATCTTGGTCCGATTTTTTTTTACATCTCAAAAAACTTGGCATTTTAACAGGGATGTGTAGATTTTCTACATCCACTGCAAATCCCATTGTAGCTCATGATAAATGGGGACTCTCAGCAGGTCTACCTTAGGTGACCTAGATACTGACATCTGCAGTAGATACTCTTTTAAAAATCCAACTCCAAACCATATAGGATGTTAAAGGTGGTAATAAGCACCTGTAAACCAAGTGGCCAACAATACAGATCATGCGGAAATGTGAAATATGATTATACTAGGCAGCACCAGTTAGTTGCATTCTACTACAACTAGTTTCCAAATGTTCTCCAAGGGTGGCCCCCCAAGTGGAAACTGACAAATATATAAATTCTGAAAATGATGTTCAATTCTATGAAATATGACAATTAAAATATTTAGTTCAGAAGCTTGAATTCAAATGCTAGCCAGTAAATAAATCTCTATACCTTCAGGTATGCATTTGGAAACAGATAACAATTTGTTGAAGTAAGTTAGTAATTAAAGCATGATAAAATAAAATTAGCTTGATATTCTAATAAAATATGCAAAATGACACGTATATGAGATGTTTACCTTTAAGTGCTTCAGATCGTTCATTATCTGATTTGCTTGACAGAGCATTAATCAACTGCAGCTTTTCTCTTAGTTTGGATACCTGAGATTCTCCATTTTCTATTTTCTGTAGATTACCAATTAAAAAAAAACTCTAAAGTAGCCCTGTTTGTTCTACTTTGATTGCACTTAATACAAAATCCACTGTATCATTTATATATTTCTAGCAAGTATATTTATGTACCTTTTTTCCTAATATTGTAACTGCACATACTATAATTTTGATGGTTTCAAAACTATCAACGTGAAAAGGGAATTAGCAATGTCAAAATCCAGCAGGAATTTTATTTTAATTCCTATCAACAGTAACTAATTTCAGGTATTGTTATACCAAGTCATAGTTCTATTGATAAGTTGAATAAACTAAATTGATTTTCTGCTGTACTTCTCTTACATGACTGTATATTGAATTAATCAATCTATGATTGACATAAATACACAGTAAAGCCTGTTTTATTGGTAAAATTAGCATTCTCTCCTCAAATCTTAAAGCTAAAGTTCTGGTGTAAATCTCTGCTGTAATGGTACTCTATAATTCCTCATATTCTTGAAATGTGACTAAACCCTGGTGAATTAATGACTTTAATTAGTCATTAGCTACAACATAAAATAACCTGAATAGTTTTGCAGCATGAGAATTATCCTTAGGAACAATTGATTTTTTTGAGAAAGTTTTTTTGAATATATTTTGCCTTGTGAATGTATGTCCTTTAAAAGCATGTTTTTCTTTCCATCAAGATATTATATCTAAGGTTTTGAACGAAGAGGAAAGTTGAAGTGATGTTCTAATGCCCCATGGAACAATATTTTATTATATTTTAAAGTATTTTTAAAAAGAATAACTTATTGATTTTCAGCATTAAATAACAGCCAAACTCACTTCAGTCAATTGGTGACCATATAATTAAAG